TAGAATATTTGGAATGAAAACAGTGAAATAAGTACTCATAAAACAAAACTTTTAAAAATTAATAGAATACTATAAATACTTTAATATCAATATATTTATAAATATGGCCAAAATTGACAACTATCTTAAATATACACTAAACTGACTTTTTAAAAAAAGCATGTATGTTATGTGCATGTGTGGCCTGTTTAAAAAGTGTTTAATAACAACAAAGAAAAGCAGACTGAATTAGACTTATATTTTAAAAATATAATAACTAAATATCTTTCTAATTCTTCCCCCAAATCAGACTTAAATGTATTTAAAGATTCTTCTTAATATCCAAACGATGAGACCAAAAAAAGATGGAAGGCTCTGATTCCTTCAATGGGGCTAGCAGAAAAGGGCAGGGAAAATACTGGCAAACCCAGACCCACAGTAAATAAAAGATACAAGCTACCTTTATGAGAGGTATACATGAGGTATGTGCCTTTTCACAGATCCATGTGATTATAAATATGAAGTTAAATGAGTATGCTGTATTCTTCAAAGTGGTACAAAGGCTGCATTATCCCCCTGAAGAAATGGAACTAAAATACAAATCAATTTCCTATAGCTTTCTCTTGGAGTTATCACTAAATATTAAAGAAAGATTAATGTGTCAAAAATTTTTTAAAAGCTCTTCAATATTGTTTTTTTTTTAATTTAGAAAGTTGTTTGTTTTTTTTAAACAAAATGAGTTAGATGGGGGTTGCACCTGGAAAATAAATTTCTTAAACTCCATATACCTGTTTCAAATCTGCTGGGTCCCAAGTCCATCTATGAATTCCCAGGCTGCCAGTATCATGTACAGCATACTAAAGCTACACTATCTGAAGAGCTTATTAATTCTGCATAAATCAGGTCAATCAATGTGTCAACCTGTAACAGACTGTGCACTTTTAATGAGCATGGCAAAATATTCATTCTCTTGAACTTTTATTTTCCAAGTGCAACCCCCATCTAACTAAATTTTTTCTTCACCTTGTGCTCTTGACAGCTCAAAAGATCGTAAATAACATGGGAGTAATAATGGGTCAAAATTTACAAAATAAAGTACTGTTTTGGTGTGGGAGTTGTCATGAGGCTATGTTGAAGTGACTTTAATTATGTGGGATATTGAGTTTTTTTAATGGATTGAATATTCATTAAAATGGATTTGTTCAGCCATTTACATTAATGAGCATTTAAATGCAACAGATACCATTTCAGGTGACTTAACATAAATGAATAAAAGTCAATGCTATTGGAAAAAAATACATAAATAAAAAAAATAAAATGAGTTGTGGAAAAGCTACTTTAATAGCTATTTTACAAGTACAGTCTTAATTTCATGGGATAAAAATAATCACAACTCAGAAATTTCACTGTGCAATAGAAAAAAATCACTCAAAGCTATATATTTTGAGAACCAATATGAAATGGCAAAAAATAAATATCTTTGCAATTTAAAGTTATAAAATTACTCCTTCAGTCATCCAAGAACCAAGAAGTAAGTTTTTATTAAAATGAAATAACACCAGAGGATATAACTAACCACTGGTGATACAGTCTTTTATAGAGAACATTGTCATTTTGCCTTCATAATGCATTTTCTCTCTGCTGATACCAGACTGTAGATTAAATTTAAATGACACACAAAAAAGCTAACATCATCTCCTCCTGAGTTAATATCATCTCCTCATGCACTGTTTCCTAGAACTACTAAGTGCTACAGCCTTTTCTAAAGGAAATATCAGAACGGGAAAAAAGAGACAGATTCATCCAATCTAAAAGTCTAAATTAGCTCTTGCCCTAATTGCATTCATGTATCACTGACAAAGCTACTTTTTTGTTTAATTTGAGGGAAAGCAAAAAAATATTTAATTACTTACACATAACATTACAATATTTAACTACATAAACATAACTGTGAAATATATAGCTTATGGAAGGGATCATCATAACAAAATATTTGCTATATTTATTTATGCAATTTTACAAAGCTTTTTAAACTAAAACTTCTTAACATTTTATTATAGTGCATATATAATCTGCTTTAGTAGATCAAATAATTTGTAATTGACTAGGAACAGAGAATAAGTGATATTTAACATTATGATAAAGACTACAAGTTATCTGTCCATCTCATACTCATTACTACTGATCTTAAATTTCATTACCAAAGTCTGTATTAAAATTCCTCTAAATTTCCCTACATTACACCTTGAAGGTACAGCAACAATAAAAGGCTGATTAAATAAATAAATCTATTTCAAGGGGATAATTATTTTATTGACACTATATTAATATAAACAAGAAATCAAGCATTACATAAAGCAAAGAAACTACACATATATCACTAAATCCAAGAGTCAGTTTTCCTTCAACTAATATAATGTGAATTTAATAATTCTGGGAATAAAACAAAAACCCAATTAAATATTTTTCTAAAAGAGGAATCAAATTCTAGTACTAGAACTGCACATTTCCGTAAAAAAACTTTTCGTGTGTCTTCCAATGTTTGGTAGTCTGGCATTACAGAAATAACTGCTGTAGTATTCATAACTTTTTTCATGTTATAAATATTCCATATTAATTTTTCAGAGTGGTAACTAATGTAAGGTAATATGTGCAGACCCACCACCCAGTTTAAGAAGAATATTACCATTACCTTTGATGTTCCCTGTCTTTCCCTATTCACTCTCTTCTCAGTTCCCTCAGACAAAACTGCCCTGACTATTGTACATACTGTTTCCTATTCACCATCTAGGTCTGACCACAGAATATATTGTTTAATTGCAGGATTTTTAATCTTATATAAATGGAGCCATACTATATATACATTTTTCCAATGCATGCTTTTATCATTCAATACTTTGTTCCAGATTTTAATCTATATTTTCTCAGTTTTCACAGTATCTTCATTGTACGGTATTTCATTAAATGAACATATCACAATATATTTATTGATTTTACTGTTGGTGGAAATTTCTTTCACTTCTGGTGTTTTGCTATCACACAATTTCACTCTTACGGCTCTTGTATATGTCCTGTATATGTATGAGGTCTGGTTTGGAGGGAATACAAGCCTTCAACTTTTGGAAATAACACTAAGCTATTTTTCAAAGTGGCTGCACCATTTGAGCTCCCACCCACAGTTCATCACTATTCCACTTCTTCTACATCCTCACCAACACTTAAATTGTTAGACTTTGTATTTTTGCCAATCTGTTGTGTGTACAATGGTATCTCACTGTGGTTTCATTTATTTCCCCAGCTAATAAGAAGACTGTATGCCTGCTTTTCATGTTACTAACCATCAGATTTTCATTTCTGTAAGGTGAAACTCAAGTCTTCAGCCCATTTTTCTACTGGATTATCTTTTTCTTATTAATTGAAAGCATTTGCTATAAATTTTGGATATCATCCCTTTGTCAATTTTACATGTTTTAAATATCTTCTCCCTGTGGCATTTTTCATTTTCATTATATTTTGATCAGCAAAGGTTCTTAATTTTAATGTAATTGGCTTTTTCTTTCCAATCTTTCTTTTACAGTTTCTAATTTTTCTATCTTATTTAAAAATATTTCCCTACTCTAAGGTCATAAAGGTTTTCTCTTATATTTTCTAATAGTTTTATAATTCTGACTTTCACATTTAATCTAGCTGGAATTGATTTTTATGTATGGTTTGAGGTACAAGGTCTATTTTTTTTTCCCCTAACAAACAACAAATTGTCCCAGTACCATTTACTGATAAGAAATTCTCTTCTCCACTGATAGGCAATGACAGTTCTGGCCCCTATCAAATGAGCACATACATAAGCCTGAATCCAAGATTGCTTTCAGTTCTAAAGCTCTATTAAACTGAAAGCACTAAAATATTTTGTGAAGATAAATCAACAATTGGTTTTAACTCCATGAATTTTTTTTTTTAAAGAACACCAAATGGTAAAAAAAAATCCTGACTTGGACAATGTGATGGAAAAAAAAAAACCCTACTGCATAGGGTTCAAAGAACCTGAGTTCTACTTCCCACTAAACAACTTACTGACTATGTAGAATTAGACATTCTAAGCTGTCAAAAACAACAGTACCAAGAAAAGCGTAAAATTATTTACATTTTTTTCATGTATATAATTCACACACTAAAAGTTCAGTAAAATTATACCAGATAATATTTAAAAGATAAACAAAGGTATAATTTAAATAAATAAATGTTATCATCCCAAATTTTAGTTTTATATCTATAACCTAATGTGAAATATTTGCTCTAACTTCTAATTTTGTATCTACCACAATTTGGTGCTCAAAAAACAACTGTTTACTTATATAAGCACAATCTAACTAAAGACCAAGTAAGGTGAAGACTGTTTTCTAAAAGGTGTCTTCTTTGAGTAAGCATTGATTAAACTCCCATACAGAAATTTGACCCACTTTATAGCGGATGAAGTTTAAGAAGAAATTTTCCATTAATAAAATCACCTTTATTTATTTTACATTATCAATACTCTTTTAAATAGTCATAGAAGTTCAGAATATATCTGAATACTTTTCATCCAGGGATGGACAACTCCAACTAAGCATCTTTTTTAAGCCAATTTGGAAAATATTCTAGGTATAGAAATCCATTAAAACAAGCCGAGAACACTTAAGTGACTTTGGTTGCTGCCCCATCCCCCCAAAACTAACCATTACACAGTAGGTACTTTCTTATAGAATCTTCTTTGTAATATCCACTCATGAACAAAATCGTAATGCATACATGAACTGGCAGTCACCTTTCAATAAAATTCTAACTAAAATGTAGCACTACCACATGGGAAAAAAAGAAGCTTAAATAGTTTAGATCTTTATCTCCCAGTTATCTTCTGGCAATAAGGGAAACACACTGTAACATTAATTCCCTATTTTCATAACTTTAAGAATAAGCCCCTCCAATCAGGAGCTTGAAAAAGGGAGAGAGAAAAAGTTAAAATAAATTATTAATGACATATTTACCGGTTTGATTCGAAGCTTAGCACCCACCACTTCAAGAATGGCATGTCTTCTGGACACTCTCTTATCTGTTATCTACAGGGGGAAAAAATTAACATTTCAAACACAGTCACTTTCTAAAAACAAACAAACAAAAAACAATAACAACAACAAAAAACCCCACAGCAATGTTTCTGAAATTAGTAGACTAGATATGAAATATATTACTCATTCAATGACTGTATATTGAAATGACTGTCCTTGCTGAATACATATCGAAAACAACTCAGAGATTAAGAGGCCTCCCCAAAGTCACAGAAAAATAAATAGTGAAGCAGAGACTCAAGCTTGGAACCTAATAGATCCCAAAACCTTTCACGATCATTTCAAGACATATCTTTAGCAGGGATTATCAATAAAATTAACAAGACGAGAAAGAAAAAAATCTATATAATATGTATGTATCAGGAAACATTTCAAATACAGAAAATATATCATGTGTTATAATGACAAAAGATCTTAACAAGCAAGAGTCTGGTAAATGTAAAAGGTTTGACTACAAGCACTGCGGCCAGGCAGACCCAAGTCAAGCAGACCTGCACTTGAGCCATGAGCAGCAGTTAAGAGGGCAGGAAGACAGGAAGAGCAGTGAGAACCAAATATTTACAGTGAAGAAACATTTAAAAAATACATTTGCTTTCTGCTTTGAGACAACTACTGCAAGTAGTGTTTTACTTATGCCCACAATCACTTCTGCACACCAAAGTTTAAAAATTGCTTGCCCTTTTAAGTGTTGAAATTGCCAAGCAAGTCTTCCCTACATGGCTATTAACACCAACAGTTAAGACAGATTATCTTCATGATTTGTAGTTTTATGTAATGAAACTGTTTCAATCACCAACTTTACTTAATAGCATAATTATTTGGCCTATCTCGTCACTATCTTGGTATCTGTCACTTCATCTCTAACCTTATCCACATTAGGACCAAAATTATCAGTAAAAACAGACTGCAGCAAGGCCTAAATTCAATTAAATCCACTCAGTTCAATTCAGTTCAGTCCTACTAGTTCTGCAAAAACTTGCAAAAATATGAAACTTTCAGGAATCAGTATTCATTTTTTTAACCAAAGAGCAATTCCACACTTACGGCTGTTCAGTTCAGTTCAGTTGTGTCCAACTCTTTGCCACCTCATGGATGGCAGCACGCCAGGCATCCCTATCCATCACCAAATCCCCAAGAATACTCAAGGTCATGGCCATTGAGTCAGTGATGCCATCCAACCATCTCATCCTCTGTCATCCCCTTCTCCTCCCACCTTCAATTTTTCCCAGCAACAGGGTTTTTCAAATGAGTCAGTTCTTCACATCACGTAGCCAAAGTACTGGAGTTTCAGCTTCAGCATCAGTCCTTCCAATGAGTATTCAGGGCTGACTTCCTTTAGGATGGACTGGTTGGATCTCCTTGCAAGGGACTCTCAAGAGTCTTCTCCAACACAACAGTTCAAAAGCATCAATTCTTCAGCGCTCAGCTTTCTCCACAGTCCAACTCTCACATCCATACATGACCACTGGAAAAACCATAGCCTTGACTAAGATGGACCTTTGTTGGCAAAGTAATGTCTCTGCTTTTTAATATGCTGTCTAGGTTGATCATAACTTTCCTCCCAAGGAGCAAGCGTCTTTTAATTTCATGGCTGCGGACACCATCTGCAGTGATTTTGGAGCCCAAAAAAGTAAAGTCACTGTTTCTATTGTTTCCCCATCTATTTGCCATGAAGTGATAGGACCAGATGCCATTCAGATTTCCTGAATGTTGAAATTTAAGCCAACTTTTTCACTCTCCTCTTTCACTTTCAAGAGGCTCTTTAGTTCTTCTTCACTTTCTGCCATAAGGGTGGTGTCATCTGCATATCTGAGGATATTGATATTTTTCCTGGCAATCTTGATTCCAGCTTGTGCTTCATTCAGCCCAGCGTTTCTCATGATATACTCTGCATATAAGTTAAATAAGCAGGGTGACAATATACAGCCTTGAGGTACTCCTTTCCCAATCTGGAACCAGTCTGTTGTTCCATGTCCAGTTCTAACTGTTGCTTCCTGACCTGCATACAGATTTCTCAGGAGGCAGGTTGGGTGGTCTGGCATTCCCATCTCTTGAAGAATTTTCCACAGTTTGTTGTGATCTACACAGTCAAAGGTTTTGATACAGTCAATAAAGCAGATGTTTTTCTGGAACTCTCTTGCTTTTTCGATGATCCAACAGATGTTGGCAATTTGATTTTTGGTTCCTCTGCCTTTTCTAAAACCAGCTTGAACATCTGGAAGTTCACAGCTCACGTATTGCTGAAGCCTGGCTTGGAGAATTTTGAGCATTATTTTACTAGCATGTGAGATGAGTGCAATTGTGCGGCAGTTTGAGCATTCTTTGGCATTGCCTTTCTTTGGGATTGGAATAAAAACTGACCTTTTCCAGTCCTGTGGCCACTGCTGAGTTTTCCAAATTTGCTGGCATATTGAGTGCAGTACTTTCACAGAATCATCTTTTAGAATTTGAAATAGTTCAGCTGGAATTTCATCACCTCCACTAGCTTTGTTCATAGTGATGCTAAGCTCAACTAGACTTATGGCTGTGACTATATAAAAATAGTAATATCAAGCATCACAGTGAAATAAATTCCACATATGTGACTTTTCCACAAAGCTACAGTTAATTTTTAGGACATTTTCGAAAATAAAATACCTTACAGGTGCATGTGTGTTTGTTCATTCAGTCCTGTCTGACTCTTTGCAATCCCATGAACTGTAGCCTACCAGGTTCCTCTGCCCATGGGATTATCCCAGCAAGAATACTGGAATGGGCTGCCATTTCCTCCTCCAGGGGATATTCCGGACCCAGGAATCAAACCGGCATCTCCTGCAGCTGCTGCATTGGCAGGAGGGTTTTTTACCACTGAGCCACCTGGGAAGCCTATTTAAAATACACCCATTATTAGCTACAAAGGCTATTTCATAAGATTAAACATAAACTATTAGCCTATTCAATCAGAAAAGAGGATAGAAATTTGGAGGCTCCTATATTCCTCCCATAATGTGTCTTAGTGGGCCCAAAACAGCAGTCACCTGATAATCCACTTCACCATTCACAGAGATCTTATCATTTGCATAGAACTTTCACTTAAATGTTGAGCCTCACCATAATGCTGTCATAAATATTATTCACATTTTACATATTGGAAATTGAAAGTCCAGAGAATTTTAGTTGCTTGTGTAGGTCACTCTTCACAGTACTCCAATTCCATAATTAACAAAAATAAATACATGAGAAAAAGTCATGTATTATTACTCTACACCTACATGTAATCATTTAGAAATAGTTTCAAGAACTGCAAATTATTCTGGGGCAAGGAGTAAGAAGTTTCTATTTATAACTTGGGGAGTAATATCTTATTGTTAACTTCAATTATACAAATTGATCTTCTACAACAGAGTAACAAACTGTCAAATATAAAACCATGACATATAATTACAGTTCCTGTAATAGCCCAACTTGGGTTTCTTTCATTTTCAAGCCATATTTTTGCAGAAAGCAATAATATAAAAGTTTAATGACCTCTAGTGGACACATATTTCTTCAACAGTGTGATTTCACTGCAAGCTGTGTATTTCTATAGTACCCACAAAAGTGCTTTAGAGTCTCTGAAATTAACATCATTCAGGCATTCAGCTGCAACTGTCCCTTTTATGCCCCACCTCTAAATAACAAGTAAGTTACAAAACAATCAGCTCAGTCACTCAGTCATGTCTGACTGTTTGCGACCCCATGGACTGCAGCATGCCAGGCCTCCCTGTCCATCACCAACTCCCAGAGTTTAATCAAATTCATGTCCATTGAGTCAGTGATACAAAACAGTAATTTATGCTTTTTCAATAGAAAGCTTAAAGGTTTAACAAATGATGTTTAAAGCTTATTTTAATTTCAGGATGGGGGTGGTAAGGGGCTTAAAGGAGTAAGGTCATAAACAGATCCTAAAGATCTGATGACCTGCTTTATGTAACAGCAATCACTGCTTTTTGTGCAGAGTAAATACCCACACATTTTTATTAACATACAAATTGTAATGAAAATTATTTATCAAGACCACAGCACTGCTCTATATTTATCACATATATTTTTTCCCATATCACAAAACCTGTGGAAGATACTACCATCTTTATTTCACAGGTGAGAAATGGAACGGCAGAGAGGTTACAGAGCCAGTAAGCAAAGGAGAGGGGCCAGGATTTGTGATTTAAAGACACCTTCGCTCTTAGTGCTATACTTCTTCCCTCATTATCATTATGTAAAACATCTTTTTTAGATGATTTAACATCAGCTTAACTGTCTCAACTAGGACATACTAAAAAACTAGAAATAAGATGGAATGGCTATTTATTAAGCAAGTAGACATTCTGGGAAAACTGAAGCCCTACATAAAGCCTCAAGAAGCCTTCAGACTTCCACGCGGTCCTGTGTATTCTGAGAGCACACCCAAGTCTAACCAGACGAGCTTTGTGAATTCCCAGTCGTCTATTCACAGCAGACAATAAAGCGCATAGGGTTTAGTAGGCAGTGCATTGACCATGATGTTGGTCTGCAAGTGGAAAGAGGTTAAAGAAAAGTGAAGAAATGTAAGGACTCAAAGTAGTACACTGGTTAGAGGCTACTGGGAGTAGGTTGAAAGGCGTAACATCCTTCAGAAGGTACTAAAGGCTTACTACGGAGAATAGTATGGAAGTTCCTTTAAAAAATAAAGATAGAGCTACCCTAAGACCCTGCAATCCCACTCCTGGGTATATATCCAGAGAAAAACATGATCTGAAAGGATACATGCACCCCAGTGTTCACTGCGGCACTGTTTACAATAGCCAGGACCTGGAAGCAACTTAAATGTCCATCAACAGGAGAATGGATAAAGAAAATGTGGTATGTATATTACAATGGAATATTCAGTTCAGTTCAGTTCAGTCTCTCAGTCGTGTCCGACTCTTTGCGACCCCATGAATCGCGGCAAGCCAGGCCTCCCTGTCCATTACCAACTCCTGGAGTTTACTCAA